CCATGAACAAAAGAGAAGTAATAACTGGAATCTTCAAAACACCCTGTACTAAGAAAGATTGAAAGAAAAAGAAGAAAAGCCGCTTCTAAATCAAAACAATTTCTGGAGATGATGTCGCCTTTCCTATCCCAGAGTGACCCTTTTTCCTCCTTTGCTACTACATCAACAAAAACTTTGTAAGTATTTAACATTTCTTCCAAGAAATCAATCAATTTTCACTGACGAGTAGATGAGTCGTGTGAACCAGAAACATGCGTAGAATCCAATTGTGCCAGTCAGCACAAAGAAGGAATATGAACCAATTAGCATATACCCAAAGTACAACATCCCAGACACTGGCTTTGTTATCTCGAGCTTTGTGAAGAAGTAAAAAGCAGCATAGAGGAAGAGGTAGAGTGCAGAGGACCCTGAAGTCAGGTATGACCTCCACCACCAATGGTAATCCTCACTACACAGTTGGAAGTAGCAGAGCACAACCGTTATCTCAGCGCAGGTGACTATCAGAATGAGGAAGACAATGAAGAGGAAACCAAATATGTAGTAAAATTGGTGCAACCATATGGAGGTGAGGATGAAAAACAGCTCAATAAAGACTGCCCCAAAAGGAAGTATCCCTCCAATGAGAATGGAGAACGTCGGGTTCATGTACCAAGCTTGTTCCGGGATCTGTCTTGGGATCTTGTTGGTTTTCACAGGGTCTTCAATTGCTGGCTTCTTAAACCCAACATAACCACCCACAAAAACGAGAGGAACAGAGATACAGAACCATAAAAATACCAGAGCAAACATGGTTCCAAATGGCACTGCCCCAGAGGATTTCTCCCCCCAGATTAAAGCATTCAAAACAAAGAAAATGGAGAAAATTGTGGCTGGAAACATGATAGCCGTTTTCAGTGAAATCTTCTTCCACTCTGTTCCCTTAAACATCCTATATAGACGAGAAGAAGTGTAGCCAGCAAAAAGCCCCATAAAGACCCAGAGTAGGAGCATGGCAGTCATTAAACCCCCTCTGTTTGATGGGGAGAGGAACCCAAGAGCAGCAAATATTATGGTGACAAGACTCATTCCAAAAAACTGAACACCTGTACCGACGTACACGCAAAGTAAATCAGATTTTAAAGGAGGCCTGAAAACATCACCATGAACCAGTTTCCAACCCGTTTCTTCTTGTGCTTCTTCTTGGGTCTCCAATTGATTATATTTAGAAATATCACGGTAGAGTGTTCTCAACATAATCATGGCCACCATACCCGAGAGGAAAAGGACAATCATCAAAGAATTAACTATTGAAAACCAATGAATTTGATCATCAGCCATCAGAAGATAGGTATCCCACCTTGATGCCCATTTCACATCACTTTCCTAGAACACAGAATTAGCAAGCATTAGAGGTAGAGAGAGAGGAGAAGGGGGGGGGGGGGG